CCCCCCCCCCCACGGTCGCCCCTTCCGGTCGACCTTTTGGTTGTTGCGCCGCTGTTGTTATCGCCGCTCCGGGAGGCGTCGGCGGGAGGCCGCCCCGGAGGTACCAACTCTTGGGTGATCCTGGCTGCCGTGAGACTTTTGCACTCGCAGGGGCGGTGGCCCGCGCGATCTGGCCGCCGGCCTTCGTGTCGCCGTGTCTCAGCCCCCGGGTGGTGGGGGGATGGTCGGCTATTTGGGCGCCGGGGGCGATCCGAGGCCGCCGCCCACACATGGTCAAGTTCCCTCCCTACATGGCTGCCCCCTCCCCTCCCCTCCGCTTCCTTTCTCACTCTCCCCCCTGTCCTGCTTGGGCGGTCTGCCAGCACACATGTCCTCGGCTCGGGCTCCTCGCGGGGGGCGCCCCCCGACCCCCGGGCCGGCGGCTACCGCCACTGCCGCGGCGAAGGCCTCCTCCCGGCGCCTTCAGTCTTTCTTGTCACAAATGCCCTCGGAGTCCAGTGAGCGGACTCTCCTACAACGGTACCCTCCCTTTCGTGCTCTTGCCTGCGAGGATGTCCACCTCCTCACTGCCGGACGACTCACCATCCCCCAAACTCCATCCAACTCTCTCCCTCTCTCTCTCTCTCTCCCCCGCTCCCCTGCCGCCAGGTTGAATGCCTGCTTTCAGCTCGTCCAAATCCCCCCGGAGGAGCTGGACCCCGAGTCCCGATCGTTGTACGCCCTGCGGCACATCCTGCAGCAGCGCCATATCGGGCGCCGTGCATCGGGCTCCGGCAGTTCCAGCCCTGTCCTCCGCCATTCGGACCGGCGGTCCGTCTCGCCGGGGCCCGTCTCCCCCGGGTCGCAGACTCTGCAACCCGGTGACCGGGGCTTCGCGGCGGCCGCCCTGCGGCGCACCCTTCAGGAACTTCTGGACGCCGGCGGCAGCGGCCCCGGCCTCCTGCAAACCGGTGCGATTCTCGGTCGCTGGACGCCTCCACCGGCCCCGGGCCATGGGGGCGGGGATCTCGGCGAGGGGCTTCCCCCCGGTGACCCGGCCTCCGATTCGGGCTCCGAGTCCGACACCGAGTCCGGCACCTTCTCCCAGCGTCTGCACACCACGGCCGAGGCCGAGGTGTCCTTCAAGCGCCGGTCCGGATCGGCCATGGCCTCGACCATGTCACCTCCCCCCCCGGCCGACATCATTCGATGTCCCCCTCGCGGCTGGCGGCCCCAGTTGTCGAGCTCGGCCAAAAGTGTCACCTTCCTGGTCCGGCGCCGGAATTTCACCGAGCGCGCCCTCGGCGTCAACCGCCTGGCCATCGTACGTGCTCATGCGTGCCGGGCTCCCGTCCCTCCGCCGTATCTCCCCCTGGCCGCCGGCTGTCGATTGATGCTGACTCTGGTGGTTGTTGGATTTTTCGTCTTTGACCATGTACCCAGCCGGGGCCGGTGATCTCTCCCCTTTCGCGGAAGATCCTGCCGGCATACATTCTGCGCGATCGACTGGATGGCCCCGGTTCGCGGGTCCCCCCGAAGCTGGCCCTCCTCCGGGAGGTGCAGCAATTTTTCCACGGCCCCTCCCGGCTACGAGGGACCCTGGACTTCGGCGCGGCGAATCCCCTGCTCCTGGGCCTCCATGTGACCGGCGCCGGTGGGCCCGACGCCGAGTTCCACCCGGTTCCCCTGCAAACCCTGGATTACATGCACTTCCGCGAGGAGCATCTGAAGCAGGTGAATGCCCTGCTGGCGGCATGCTTCTGGCCCGGGATTGACAGTACGTTCATTGGAGGGGGGGGGGGGTGCTCGCCGTGCGCCCACCACTTCCGCCCCGCCCGATGCCACCTGTTGCCGGCCACATCTGCTAATCTCCATCTCCGTCGGATCCCCCCCCCCCCTCGCTCCCCGGCCATAGTGTCCGATGCCCTGGACTACCCGGACCATACGGTGGTCATCGTGTATGGGCGCCTGGTGGTGGCCTGTGCATTTTTGTCCCCGCCGCCACCCGGCTCCCCTCCGACCACGCCGATGTACCTGGCCTTCCTGTGTGTGCACCCGGAGTGGCGCCGTGCCGGCCTGGCCAAGCGCATGCTGGCCCTGCTGCTGCTCGGGGCCCCGCCCGGGCGGGATGTCACGCTCCATGTGTCGCCGGAAAACCCGGCCATGCTGCTGTACCAGGGGATGGGCTTCAAGTGTGACCAGTTTGTCTTTGGCTTCTTCCATGCCGTGGCCAAGACCCTGGCCGGGACGGTGCTCGACTCGGAGCCGGGGGTTGTCTCGTGGGACGGCATCAGCGGGGGCTTTCGTGCCGACGCCAGTGCCAGTCGGCGCAATGCCTTCCTGATGCGTCTTCGGCGGTAGCCATGTGTGTCCCCGACCCGGCGCCTGGGGCCCCGGCTGGTGGGCATCTTCTTCACATCCTCAAAACAACACCGGCATGCCTTCCGAGCATGTCGCCATGTCCCCAAATCCCAGGCAGTGGTGTATTGCACGTCGAGCGGGCGAGGAGCCCGCGCGGGCCCGGGAGCAGAGGGGACTGAGGACAAAGGGGAGGAGAGCGAGCAGGCATGCCGTCGCCCGGTCTATCGGGATGTTTCCAGGGGAGTGGATTGAGGGAGAGAGAGAAAGAGGGAGAGGAAGGGGAGGGAAAGTGGATGGAGAGGGGGCGCAAGGGCAACAGGGGAAGGCCCCGGCATGCCGCATCAGAGGTCGCAGCTGTGCAAACGGGACTCGGCCCGGAGGGCAGCCATGGCGGCCTCGATATCCTGGCAGTTCCGGGAGGAAGCCCCGGGAGATGCGCCGCGAGCACCGGCAGACAGGGACTCGAGCACCGCCGGGGTGCCGGGCACCGCCGGGAGTGCCCCCAGGTCCTGGAGAAGATCCGCATCCTGGGCCGCCTGCAGCGGGTCGGCCAGCTGGTGCGGCCAGGCCGGTCCGGGGCAGGCATTCGGGGTCCCCTCGGCGGCCAGCAGGGCCAGGCACCCGGAGGAAAGGGGCTGCATCCGGCAGCACAGCTCCAGGGTGACCGGCTGGCTGCGGGACACGGACCAGCGCGAGACGGTGGCCAGCCCGGCCGGCGCCCCGAGCAGTCCCAGCAGCAGGGCCGCCTCGAACAGCGGCCAGAGGCCGCGCCAGGAGGCCGGAACCGGCTTGGAGTCCGGCCCGCCGGCGGCGGGCACCTCGGCCGGGAAGAGCTCGGACCACCAGCGAAGGTACCGCTGGCGCTGGTACCAAACCTGGTAGTCGTACTCGAAGAGCAGGCGGATGGCCCTCGGCCGGTGGGCCTCCGGCACCAGGAAGCCGAAAGTCCCGGCGATGATCGGCAGCAGGAGGATCACCACCAAGAGCAGGGACCACCAGCGGGCCACCAGGAAAAGCCCGGCCACCGGCCGCGGCGCAAACATGTGCATCAGGAAGAGCCCGCCCGCCATGGGGGCCCAGACCAGCCGGGCCAGGGCGACGAGGATGGCAAACTGCGGCTCCGGGCCGTAGGGGTTCGGCCGGTCCTTCAGTTCCTCCACCGGGGGGAGGGGCTCCTCGGCGTCATCGGCGTGGTCCTCGGCGTCGGCATTCCGCCGTCCGGGGACAAACGACTGCACCCACGAGATGAGGGAGTGCAGCTTCTCGCTGGTCGTGGACATCTTCGGGGAGGATGCGCCGTGGCGATGTGTAGGCGGGTTTAGCGGGAAAGCGGGAAGGGCG